TAAATAAATATGAACAAGCATATTGAAAAGTATAAAACATTGTAAACTCTTGTAGAAATAAAACCAGACGCACTGATAGGAGACCTATCCGTGAATGTATTTCTGTCATAATAATGATGAGCACTTCGTGCCCGACGAAATTTAATATAACATACTTAATATTCAATTTATTTATCAAATAAACACAAGAATTAAAATTATAAGTTGTTCACAGTGTTTTTGTTTAAAAAAATAATCTGCTACGTAATTGTAATATAACTCTTTGTCGCGTTTGACGACCAGGTATCAGTCGTCAGAGCTACGTACAGTATCAACTTGAACTTGATCAAGTTCTCCTAACAGAGCGGATTTACGATTTTCGTACACTTTTTCGATCCTAGATTTTATGATATTACGGGACGATATTTTGTAGTTTGGTGCAACAATGGACATCAGTTTTTTTTTAAGCCTTTGCTTCAACCAGTTGAATTGGGCATGTAATATCGCACGTGTAATATCATCCGCTCTTTTCCGGAGAATTTACGGCTTCTCGGAGAAATGACAAAATTATCTAATTTATTTAAACATAGTGGATCTTAAATGATGTTCAGTGAAAACAAATAATTAAAGCCAAACAAAAAATAAGGGAAGAAGACAGCCGAAGGTGAGAAAAGCCAGGTACCCAAGGTGCTTGGTCATGATAATTACTGTATAAACACTGCCACAGGCGATAACGGTCAGTTAGAGTTGTAGGAAACCTGTATGTACAAGTGCAATGAGCATTTTACGTTTTAAAACAGATTGTTTATTTCATGAATAAATAAGCTGAGAAATATTCAAAAATATACATCCGAGTAACCGAGTACCAATTTTAGTATTCGATACTCGGACGTTCGATCGAGTACCCGGTTAACCGGGTACTTGTTGACATCCCTAATAAAATGTAAAAAAAAAAAATTCACAAGTGTAACTATTCAATTTCTCTTCATCAATAGAATCAAATCCCCAGCCCACATTTTTTCCTCCAAAACCATGAAAAATTTGAAACCCCCCACAAAATGATGTGATTTTCCAATCCTTACCTCTGTGGCCAGCCTGAGTACAAACATCGGGAGGCCCTCCATGTTGGGGAGATAGTTATTAAGCAGGAGGGGCAGCGTACAGAGATTTCCCTTCTGTAATTACACAATCATCAAATACTTGATTTATGAAAGTGAAATATATGGAGAAAGTGAATAGTATGCAAGCTCAAAAGTTCTTTAGACAATACAAATTTGGAGCAGAGAAATCACGGATGATCAGGTGCCATGAAGGAGTGAGCATCCCCTGCGGACAGGCCAACCCCATCATGTGTTCCTTGTCATGATCGGGAAATAACGGAAAAATCCATTTATAATTCAGTGTAAATCATGGCCTAACAATTAGTATGAAAACCTCAGTCAACATTTGACTCAATGATAAATTGTTTTTGCTGACATGGTCAATATCGACCATACAACTTTTTATCAGCCCACTAACAATCAATTACATATGCTAAGGGTCACCATTCCTCTGTTTACTTAACATGAATAAAATGCATAAAATTGCAGTTTTAACTTCAAATTGACAGAAATGTTCTTTTAATCTCAACAATAATGATCTTTTATCAAAAAGAGAGTTATCTCTCTTGTAACAAGGTCAAAGAATGTTGAATTCTTCAGAAATGATTACCTCTCCTGACCAACTAGCTAAATGGTGGAGCGACAAGATCATCAAAATTTTGAATTTAATGTACCACCCTACCCTATGGCTGATTTGTACTTTTTTGGACAGATGTATTGTCAAGCAATAATTTTTGCCCGGTCGTAGAAAATTCTATGGTCAAATTTTTAAATAATAGGAGATTAAAGATCAATAAATGAATTCTGACCATAACATTGAATATATAAGGAAAAGTTCAAGAAATTCATAAAAAATAATATAAATTTGTATAGGAATTTTATTTATTCTGTCAATATATTGATTTCATGGAAAAAGAACGAAAATTTGAATAAAAAACGTCCTTTTGTCTGTCTGTAAAGTTAAATATTTGTCTTAAGTATTTTTATTTAAACTTTAAAGATTTAATGCAAATGGACATGTTATTCTTAACGTAACAATCACGTAATATTTAGTACATAAAGTAAAGAAAAATAAAAACAAGAACAACACCACCCATCATCAACCCTCCCCCCCCCCCCCACCAATTTAAAGACGGAATATGACTAACTTTCACATTTTGTTGTTCAGATGTAGATTCATTATTTTTAAAGAAATTGTTTGACACTCTTTTTTTTTAGCAGTTTAAGTAATAATTCTTCTAGTGGTCACCCATGCTCTCTCACTGGATTTCGGTATTCCGGTCTAAGCGTTTACTCATAAATTCCGCGGACTACATAGTAAGGATTTAGGGGTTAAGAAAGATTTTTAACACGTATTGGTGATAAAGTTGCAATTCTTGAAAAGGGGTGAATACTTTATATTAATGGCGTTATGCATTTGTTAGAGCTGTAATCTCTAATCATTGGATTACATGTGTATCTTTTTTTCTTAAATTTGCAAGAATATGTTTCATTTGAAATCTATATGGTGCAAAAGAGCTAAAAGTAATGATAGCTGATCTTTTAAAAAGATACTTTACATGTAGGTGGGTAGATAATGATTAGAACAGAGCAAAATGTTTATCACGTCGCAATATCCACATTAAATGCATGACGTTCATGGGATTTTTTAATCTGCTAACTGAAAACTTTATATCTTGAATTTTTTTTTAAAAGCCTGACATTTAACAGTCCTGAAAAGAATGTCATTCAATTTTGGCAGTATGTAAATGATGAAATGCATAAACAAATTGTGTATCCCTTAGTTTTAATAATGAAAACTCCATGTGTTTTCTATAGAAAACACTGAATATATTTGTGAAGGAAATATGAAATAGTTTCTGTAAAGAGAAGGAAAGTCCTTCAGATGAAATACTAAACTCGTTCTTCTATTTCTGTTTCATACAAATTAGTTTTGCGTTAATCTGTATTGCTTATGATGCAGAAAGGCGATATCCAATCATGCAAGATATCTTGTTCAAACAGGAATGTAAAGGAAAATTGAAATGCTTGTCCTTTACATTTGTTAAATTGATAAAAACAACAAAACTTTCAAATGCTCAATAACTAAAATTCAAACTGAATATAAGCCTTAATTTATTAAAAGTAGGACCTAATTTAATATACATAACAATATTCTGATTGATGGGGCCACTATCACAGGCATGATGGGATTCTATACATCCATTTCCGTTGCACAAAACATTTTAGAACAAGTAGAATACAAGACTTAGAGAGAAGATATCCTTAAAAAACGTTGAGTTTATGTGATCACAAATCATTGTCTCATTAATATCTTTCTACATATTAAGTAAATATTCGTTATTCATAGCATGAAATAATTGTTTTATAGTTGAAAGTAACACAGTTTCTATAACAAAACATACGATTATTAAAAGGAGGTGGGACAAATAATATGATTACAGATTAATTTTGCATTGTAAATTTAGATACCTGCAACTATCCTATTATGCACAAATTACTATTTTTTTTATTCAATGATTTAGCTTTGATTTGAAAAAGAATGATATCAGCGAGTAAAATAAACGAATTAAATACCACCCCCCTTTTCACTTTCATCGCAAGTTTAAAAAAAATTTTGACTTGAGAAAACTCTACAACCAGGCGAAAATGTATGAGGAGGGATGTCTCTTTTATAAAATATAACTTTCAGCTGTAGGGTATGCCGGTCCATTAAACTCGAAAACTATAAGCATCTTTTTCTAGTTTTGTCACTCCACTAAACAAGAGGCCCAGGGGCCACAGCGCTCACCTGAGCACATTGGCTTGGAAAAAACACATATCAGATCAGAAATGAAAGTTTATCAGGAGGGGGGGGGTCTTGAATTTTAACCCCCAAGAGGTTCATGATTAGAACAAACTTGAATCTACAATACCTGAAGATGATTCCATATTAATATCACTAATCATAGCTTTGAAGTACTTGGAAAGATGATTTTAAAAGGTTTCCCTATTAATCCCTATATAAAACTTTGGTCGGCCATTTTGGCCCCACCCTAGCCCCAGAGATCATGATTTGAACAAACTTGAATCTACAGTACCTGAGGATGATACCACATGAGTTTCATCTTTCCTGGCTCAGTGGTTCCTGAGAAGAAGATTTTTAAAGATTTTTCCTATATATTCCTATGTAAAACTTGGGCCGGCCATTTTGGCCCCGCCCTAGCCCCAGAGATCATGATTTGAACAAACTTGAATCTACACTACCTGAGGATGATTCCACATGAGTTTCATCTTTCCTGGCCCAGTGGTTCTTGAGAAGAAGATTTTTAAAGATTTTTCCTATGTATTTCTATGTAAAACTTGGGTCGGCCATTTTGGCCCCACCCTAGCCCCGGGGGTCATGATTTGAACAAACTTGAATCTACAGTACCTGAGGATGATTCCACATGAGATTCATCTTTCCTGGCCCAGTGGTTCTTGAGAAGAATATTTTTAAAGATTTTTCCTATATATTCCAATGTAAAACTTGGGTCGGCCATTTTGGCCCCACCCTAGCCCTGGGGGTCATGATTTGAACAAACCTGAAACTAAAGTACCTGAGAATGATTCCACATGAGTTTCATCTTTCCTGGCCCAATGGTTCTTGAGAAGAAGATTTTTAAAGATTTTTCCTATATATTTCTATGTAAAACTTGGGTCGGCCATTTTGGCCCCACCCTAGCCCCGGGGGTCATGATTTGAACAAACTTGAATTAACATTACCTGAGGATGATTCCACATGAGATTCATCTTTCCTGGCCCAGTGGTTCTTGAGAAGAAGATTTTTATAAAGATTTTTCTTATGTATTTCTATGTAAAACTTGGGTCGGCCATTTTGGCCCCACCCTAGCCCCGGGGGTCATGATTTGAACAAACTTGAATCTACAGTACCTGAGGATGATTCCACATGAGATTCATCTTTCCTGGCCCAGTGGTTCTTGAGAAGAATATTTTTAAAGATTTTTCCTATATATTCCAATGTAAAACTTGGGTCGGCCATTTTGGCCCCACCCTAGCCCTGGGGGTCATGATTTGAACAAACTTAAATCTGCTCTACCTGAGAATGATTCCACATGAGTTTCATCTTTCCTGGCCCAATGGTAGGGATGTGCGATTCTATCGATATACCGGTATATCGCGATTTTTTGTTGCGTGATACGTATCGTGATACGGAGACCTAAATACCGGTCTTTAGGTACATATTATAACGTCCAGAAATTATTCATTTATTTGTTCTATCTTTCAAATTACAATTACAGAAAGTATCAAAAATGTTGTAAAAAGTGAAAAGAACCGCATCTTACCATCCAAACATATTTGATTTTATATATATAAAAATTTCAAGAAAGTAGAATTTTGTTTTTCTAGCATATTTTTTGAAATATTAATGACTTTTCATATAAAATCATTGTAAAAACTGTTTTTAAAAATATCATGATTTTATCGTGATATTGTGGGAAAAAATCGTGATATATCGCGATACGAAATTTTTGGCGATACCCATCCCTACCCAATGGTTCTTGAGAAGAAGATTTTTAAAGATTTTTCCTATATATTTCTATGTAAAACTTGGGTCGGCCATTTTGGCCCCACCCTAGCCCCGGGGGTCATGATTTGAACAAACTTGAATTAACATTACCTGAGGATGATTCCACATGAGATTCATCTTTCCTGGCCCAGTGGTTCTTGAGAAGAAGATTTTTAAAGATTTTTCTTATGTATTTCTATGTAAAACTTGGGTCGGCCATTTTGGCCCCGCCCTAGCCCCAGGGGTCATGATTTGAACAAACTTGAATCTACAGTACCTGAGGATGATTGCACATGAGTTTCATCTTTCCTGGCCCAGTGGTTCTTGAGAAGAAGATTTTTTTAAAATGCCATTAATTTTGCTTTAATTCATAATTATCTCCCCTTGGAAAAGGACGTGGCCCTTCATTTGAACAAACTTGAATCCCCTTTACCCAAGGATGCTTTGTGGCAAGTTTGGTTGAAATTGGCCCAGCGGTTCTTGAGAAGAAGTCGAAAATGTGAAAAGTTTACAACGACGACGACGACGACAACGACGACAACGACGACAACAACGACAGACAACGGACAAATTTTGATCAGAAAAGCTCACTTGAGCCTTTGGCTCAGGTGAGCTAAAAATGGCCCGAATCAAGATTTTTTTTATCTCCAGGAAACAATTTTCCTTTTAAGGTCTGACGACACGTTCCTCAAGTAATTTTTTTTGTATCTCCTCGTTATAAAGAGTTCCAATAAAACAATCCGGATTTATACCGAAATCGGTTTCAAAAATTATATTTGATTATGCCCCTTTTTGCGCTCTTTTGCAATTGGAGATAAATTTGTAATTTGTTTACAATGGAGACACCGCGAAAAAATCGCGGTAGAAATGGAAAATTTATTTCTAATCAAATGCTAAGGAAGACAAATGTTTTAGAAGAAAACAAGCAGAGAAATAAAGAAGTTGGCAAAGGTAAAAAATCTTTATTATATGTATATATGAAATAATGAATCGTATTCTGGCGATTCTTCCCAGAACAAGACTGTATCACAAGCACACCAGGTTAGATCATTCCTCATACACTTGTCTATTTGAAGAAATAAATATGCTATATTTGATTTAATAAATTTACCACACAATAAGGACATATTTTCTTACTATATAAATATATTTTGAACAGATGATGTCATTGTGTCTCACCCACAACAAGAAGCAAACGACATGGACGAGCCTGTAGGATTTCATGACTGTATCACAAGCACACCAGGTTAGATCACTCCTTATACACGTATTTATTTGAAGAAATACATATGCTATATTTGATGTAATAAATTTACCACACAATAAGGACATATTTTCTTACTATATAAATATATTTTGAACAGATGATGTCATTGTGTCTCACCCACAACAAGAAGCAAACGACATGGACGAGCCTGTAGGATTTCATGACTGTATCACAAGCACACCAGGTTAGATCACTCCTCATACACGTATTTATTTGAAGAAATACATATGCTATATTTGATTTAATAAATTTACCACACATTTAGGACACATTTTCATACTATATAAATATTTTGAACAGACGATGTCAGTGTGTCTCACTCACAACAAGAAGCAAACAACGTGGACGAGAATGTACGATTGCATGTACCATACTATCTGGATGAGCATGACTATGCACAGAGAGAAGATGAAGTAGACACTGAATTTATCCTTGTTGATGATGATAGTAGTAAAAGTGATAAACAGATAGAATGGTTCACAGGAAGACGTGTAATAGAATTAGGATATGTTGTGAACAAACTCATTGAGGGCTGTAACTTTTGTAGACATCCCTTGAAATTAACTGATATTTGTGGTGAAGTGAGATATGGCCTTGGTTCATTACTGCGAATAAATTGTAAAAAGTGCAACAAAGTGACTTCTGTTCCAAGTGGAAAGAGACACTCACAATTGGATGACCATGCCAGCAGAGCATTTGATGTAAACACAAAGCTAGCTTTAGGTGTGTATGAGATCTCCATCAAAGGTATAATTTTCACCACATAATCTGATAAAAGGATAAAAGAAAATATGTAATTTACTGTCATATCACTTGCACAAGTATTAAATTTGTTTTTGTAGGAATGCTACATGCAGGCATAGGGGAGAAAAAGGTATCCATGCTCTTGAGTGTATTGAATATTCCTCCTCTTTCTCACACAACTTTAAAATGTAAAGAGAGAGAAGCTGGTAAAGCCGTAGAAGACGTTGCAAGGCAAAGTTGTGATTCTGTGGTTACTGCAGAGAGAGAATCTTCTAGGTACACAGCATAAATTAAACCATGATTGCAAAAAGCAATGTATTTTAAAATTAGTATAAAAGCAATGCAAATTTATTTCATAATTTATGATATGTCTAATCCAAGGCATAAAATGAAATTGCAGATAATACTTCAACAACTATATACACTGAATACTGTGCATATACATAAACGGACATACCGTATCCAATAGTATTACACATAAAAATATAAAGTAAATTATCATTGAAAATGAGATGTTCAATTGCATTTTTAATGTAATTTTAGGCTGTTGACTCTAGCCAAAGTCAATCTAATAATAAGATTTATCCTGATGATATGTATTTTGTATTGTAGTAATAATGATGAGTTGATGGTGTCATTTGATGGTGGATGGCAGAAAAGGGGATCAGGGCGTTCTTTTTCAAGTTTATCTGGTAAGTCCTATTGAAAGATATGAGATAATGTATTCAAATAATACAAAGTCTATTTTCACATGTTTGACAAAGGAAATACATATAATTTATATTATTATACCTCTGTTTATTTTTTCTATATAAAAATAAGACGAATAAACATGCTATTTTTTCTAAACAGTCTCTACCGTGAAATAGTTTTTGTGCTATTTGCCCATGGTGAATAGTCCTCAAACTATTCAACAGCAGCATTCCATTTCCCTCCCTTTTCATCTCTGAAAATTTCTGATTTTACATGGATTGTGACGTATATATTATGACATAACAAAAGTAAAGTCAGCATCGGTGTAATAAAACAACTATTTACTGACTACGAGGACAATAGCAAGTTCATCGTCCCCCTCGACAGCAAACTATTTCCCTCGGCTGCAACTCGGGACATAGTTTGCTGTCTTGGGGGACGATAAACTTGCTATTGTCCTCATAGCCAGTAAAAAGATGTATAATATTACAGTGAAATTCATATGTAAGTTTATATTTCTAGGTCATGCAGCAATGATAGGTAGAGAAACCGGCAAAATAGTAAATTTTGCAACACGCAATGGATACTGCAGAATATGTCATCATGCAGATAAAACAGGGAAGGCTCCATCAACTCACGACTGCCGTAAAAACTGGACGGGGAGTTCCAAAGCTATGGAGCCAGACATGTGCATTGAAATGCTAAAAGATCTAGGCGAAAAGGAGGCTCGTGTTGGAACCATAATCATGGACAATGATACTACCACCATAGCAAGAGCAAGAACTGAGGTAAACCCAGCTTTGAAGAAACAAAGTGACAAAAATCACACACTGAAACAGTTTACGAACAAATTGTATGACTTGAAAAAGTGTAAAAACTATAAGGAACTAAATCCTAAGACAATAAGTCACTTATCAAAGTGCTTCAAATATTGTGTCAGCCAAAATCAACATGACATAGATGGTATGAAGAAAAACTTGGAGGCCATATCCAAACATGTATTTGGTGATCACAGCGTGTGTGGATCTTGGTGTGGGTATCTTTCATCACCGACAACGTACAAACCCCTTCAGTTGCCATACCACCGCTATCTAGCAGACGAAGGATTGAAAGTTGATCTGACATCCATAGTTGACTTTTACATTTCACAGGCTGATAGATTGGTGGATTTAGGAAGTACCCAGCCCAATGAAAGTTTCAATAATACAGTGGCAAGCAAGACACCTAAATCAACATTCTACTCTGGCTCAGAGAGCAACGACTTTAGAGTAGCTGCAGCGGTTGCACAAAAAAATTTGGGTCATCAATATATATTACAGGTAAATTGGAAAATAATGTTTATTCTAGAAGGATCATTACTTTTTCATATAAATTCATTGAAATCACTGAAATTATGAATTTTCTTTTCAAATACACTTTCTACATCAAGTTGTGATTATAACCACATCATTGTTTTGTGAAATACTATATTTAGCGATGTTACTTGAAATATTTAGCTTGAAATATGATTACATGTATTAGAAATAGATTGTGAAGCTTTTTTATTTCAGGTAAATGAAAAATTGTTTCTTTCACCTGGGAAAGTGACCAGCAAAATTGCCATGAAAACAGACTTGAAAAGAAAAAAAGACAAAGACAAAGAAGACACAGAAGAGTACAAGAAAAGAAGAGCCTTGAAAAAAGCTGAGAGCAAGAAAAGTCAAGAATCAGCAGCAGTGAAAGAGGGGATCACATATGAAACTGATGCCGACATCAATAATAATGTAGACAACAGCATTACAGAAATACCCCCTCCTCTCACCAAACCCATCCCAACACCCATAGCAGCTGGGCAGCATACATTTGTATACTTTGACTTAGAAACAACAGGTCTTGGTAAATATCATCATACATGCATTTCCATGTAAAAATTGTGCCTGAATCATGATGTGAAGAATTGATGATAAAAATGCATTTGACTTCTAATAATTATTTCATGTTGTCTTTTTCAGATAAAGATTGTGAAGTAACACAGATTGGAGCTTGTACTGATGATAAAACCTTTTCCCAATATGTCACTCCTCCAACAAAACCAATCTCTGCTTCCGCTACAGCCGTGACTGGACTAGCCATCAGAGACAACATCATGTACAAGAATGGACACCAAGTTCACAGTAAGACAACCGAGGAAGCTTTTCAGTCATTTATTGATTGGATGAAGCAATTTACAAACATTATATTGGTTGCTCACAATGCAGTGTTTGATTCCAGAGTCATTGTGCGTTTATTTCATTCCGCGGGACTGTGTGCCAGTGACTTCTTTATTGGATTTACCGACACACTGCCATTATGTAGGGAATTCATCCCAGGTAGAAAATCCTACAAGCTGACAGATCTAGCTAAAGACATATGTAGTAGGCATTATGATGCCCATGATGCTCTGTCTGATGCTCAGACCTTACAAGAACTGATGTCATGTGTAAAAGCTTCATCTGATATGATGCTCAAACATAGTTTTACCACTCAGTTTGTTTTTGAAAACAACTCTTTTGCAGATTTGACCAGCAGAAATTTATGTTCTTTACAACATCTTGTAGACAGCAATGTATTGTCAAAATTCACTGCAAACAAAGTTGCATCATCTGGCCTGCATTTTCAGCATCTTTGTCTTGCCCATCAGAGAGATGCAGTAAATGGAATAAAGTATGTATTGTCTGACAAACATGCAACAGGTAAAGTGAGAGTTACTACAAATTCTAGAATTATTTCTTCTCTTCAACAGTATTTTATGAATTTGAAATGAATTCTTGAATACAACACAATGTACATGTATTGTAAATCAGTCATATTTTCTTATGGTATGTGCATTTATTTATATTTGAATGTTATGACATTTGATTCCCTTATTATATTGAACAGGGATGTGAATAAAAATTGTTTTTGACAACAGCCTATTTTGTCTTCTTCATAAAGAGAGATAACTCAAGGACAGGTTGAAACTCATGAAAAATGATAATTATTTTTCAAATTTCAATAGCCTTATAATATACCAAATTCAATGAATATTATTTATTCTTATTTTGAAAATGCTTACAATTTAGAATAAATATATATATGTGTGTACCAAAAATTGTAATTTCAGCAATTCAAGTGATTTTCAATAGGATTATATAGGAAATTCCATCTTCTGGTATCTTGCACAAATGCCTGGTAATGTACCCTAATTTTTTGCTAGCAAGCTTGTCAAAGTAGCAGTAAATCAAAAACAAATTCCTGGAAAAAGTTATATAAAATTGAGGAACGTGTCGTCTGACCTTAATTCCTTATCTTCTCATCCCATACCTTTGTTGAAATTTTTCTGAGAAAATATTTTCCCACCTACCTATTATTTTGATCCTGAGTTAGGAGGAGGCAAACAAACATTATCTTAAAGATGGTCTGAATTACAGTCATTTTAAGCTCTTTGTAATCTTAATTATAAAATGCTCAGTGATCACCCACCTGGTCAATTTCCATAGAGAAGTAATCGGACAACATCTCTGCTTTTGAGGTTAAGAAATCCACGATGTACTGAGCAAGGTCATGCTTTGGACCATCCGCCTCCGTCCAGCCGCTCTCTTCTAGGTCAAGGGCAAGCATAGCAAGGTCGTATATAGGAGCCGGCTCCTGGGGGAAAAGGAATAAAATTTTAAGGAAATTTTCAAAATCATTTCTTTTTCACCACAATTTAATTTCCTTAACTGTATGAATCTATGAGATTCTATCAAATTAGGATTGAAGAAATAACTAGCTGCAGAACTGAAGCTCTCTGTTTGAGAAAATTCGGACAGACAAAAGCAGAGAGCTACAGATCCAAGCATTGTAAAAACCTTGTATTTACGTTGCCACTTTTTTTGGTCGCTCACTTCTGGTTTCTTGCAAGTTATGCTTTTCCCTCATTACAGGAATGGTATCTGATAATTTACCATACATTTTACTCCAATTTATGCTGGATTTCCAACATGGAAGTCAGAATGCAAATTTTTTTAAACTGACATTCAAAAATCATATACCAGGTAGGGCTGTTTGGGACCATTGAAAAGTAAATAAAGTATCAAGAATAGGAGTAAAATACATGCTTAATTATCACATATCATTCTTACAGCTGGGGAAAGTAAAAAATAAAAGAAATGATATCCGAAGTGAGCGACAAAAAAGCAGCAGCGTAAAACGAAGGTTTTAACAACACTTGGATCCGTAGCTCTCTGCAATATCTGTCCGAATTTTCTAAAGCAGAGAGCTTCAGTTCTGCAGCTAAGAAATTACTTGCTATGAAGTGTACAATATTTACAACCACAATACTTACTGAAAGTCGGAGTATTCCAAAGTTTCCAAAATCAAATATCATCAACTGGTAGAAAAGTTCACGACTGAAAAGAAAGATTTCTTTTATTGGCATAATCGCTCCAGCAATGCCTACACATCTAAAGAAGGACTACAGAGTAAAAATGATGAAGACAAGTAATAATGCTAACAGTACATTTGATCAGTTTATATTTCCCATAATGCTCTACTCTTGCTTCTGTTGTAATTCCCTTACCTTAGTTTGGTTGTGTTTACTAGGTAGAGTTTTGTCTGATGCTGCATCAAGGAGAATTCTTCATTCACACACCCCACAAACTTGTGGAACTGGAACATCTCTCTCAGATCTACAAATGTTTTTAAATTGGATGATAAGACCTTTGAAAATGCCGAGAAAATGTCAGAGGTCATCAATGAATGAAACAATGTCCTTCTTAACATTTATAAATGACCTTGACCTGCTACAAAACTGTCTTTTGACCCTTGGTGATGGGTAAAATAAGATGGTCAAGGGGAGATAGGGATAAAAAGTTTCAATTGGGTTGAAGCTTGTTTTTAGGAGTAAGAAATGAAAACTGACTTTTATGCATATTTTCTTTGATGTCTTCCTGAAGTGTGAGAACACTGGTGAGCTTCACAGGCCTCCTCTTCTGCTGGGAACCACAACAGGGTAATACCATTCTATAAATAGCACAACTGGGTAATACCATTCTATAAATAGTAAACAACTGAGGCCTACTCCACAGAGCAAGCACATGCACACCTTTCTATTGGAGGTATAAGGGATTTTGGCAAGCGCTCGCAAACGTTCACTCTGTTGAACTGTTGAAAAGGCCTCTGGATAATACAATACTTTTACTTACTAGCAATACAAATCATTCAATACATTATTTCGTTTTTTCTACTTTGATTATACACTCATTACTCAAATGTTTTCTTCTTCAAGTTTATTTAACATGCCAACTACTTCTATTAATCAATGATAATCAAACAGAAAAAGTTACAAATCCCTCTGATTTTCACAAGGAGCATGTATTTCTTATTTAATATCAGATTTCAGATTTCATGTGTCTGGTATTCATACTTACACATCACCACTGGGTGACGTCTCCATCTGGTTGTCTTCAGGCTGGGTGGTGCCTTTAGGGACATCTTCAGTGGTGGTGCTTGTGGTGGCAGTGGCACCACCTGGGTTGACCGGTTTCATGAAAGCGTCCAGCTTCTGTTCTCTGCTGTCCGTTCTGACCATGTGATGGGCATATGTCTTCTCTGTTCCTAAAAGCAGAGAAATTCTTCTACAATTTTAGCTTATAATGGACAGACTTACAAATCACTTCAATCCTTTTCTACAATTTTTCAACAATTTCAATGCTTTAAGGATACAAATTTTCTTTTATTTTTTGGTGAAAGATGTTCTAGTCTGTGACATATTAAACACTTTATCACAATTTATCACTGTTTAAGCAATAAATTATTCTTTGCTGACTGAAGTTTTTCATACTAATTGTTAGAACATTATTCACATGCAATGAATTGACGGATTTTTCTGTTATTTCCTAAGATCATGTCAAGAACACAACGGGTGTGAACGGTCGGCAGGGAATGCTCACTCCTCCATGGCAACTGATCCCATCTCTGGTGTTTTGGAGGTCCGTTTTTGCTCTGCTCTTATTTTGTATTGTTTAATGGACTTCTGAGCTTGAATACTGTTCGTTATCTCCAGATATTTCATGTAAAGTTTAAATTTCTGATCAGTTGATAAGTACAGCTTCATCAATCAATCAATTATGTATAGCAGTTCTCAATGTACACTGAACTTGTCTTGATTACAATGCAACGTTTTATTCTGTCTGCTCCATGAGTTTACATAGACAAATATCACATGAAAATCTCTGAAATACAATACGTGCAATGTCACAGCAGTTCACCTTACTTTGACATAAATATATCATAAAATGGTCTGCCTAAAAAATGGGCAATACTCAATACTAATAAAATTTCGAAAGAAAACCCTGCACTTCAGATGCAAAGTTTTAAGTTCCTGAACTATAACACAGATTTTAAGAATGTATTCAATTCTCCCACTTAGATTCTATACTTTTAAAAATAAAATTTTGAACAAGAAAAACAATCAGATGTTCTTTTATCATAAGAGCTCTTTTTCCCCTTCAAGTTGCATACTAGATACATTTCTGATCTAAAGTGGTACAATTACTGGTGTCCATGCCCCTTGAAATATTCTGTTTTTTCAATCCACTTAAGAACAGCTAGTGCACAAAAGCATCTTCCTTTCATCTTCATATAAAATGAATCAAAACCAAATTGCTAGCCAATGAGTACTACTGGAGATAGAATTCAGCAGGTGAGTTTCTTTACATATAGTTAAATCGATAGAAAAAACAATTGCCTTACACAGGTATTAGAGTTGGGTATTGCGAGTGAAAACCATATTGCGATATATTGCAATATTTTACGTTGAATATTGCAATATATTGCGATATATTGTAGATTAATTATCATTAATAAATTTGTGCAGAAAGTTTAAAATGCTGTCAAGTTCAAAGACTATTTGAATTTTTCTATAAATTTTAAAGGAGGTGGGTGATAAGACATTAATAATTATAACTTTTAATCAAATACCAGGTAAAATATTAAAACAAAATGTACTCATTTGATGTATTTTCAAACTGAAAAAAAAAATTATGCATAGTATATTCTCTATACGTTTTTTTTTTTTTTTTGGGGGGGGGGGGGGGGTGGTTGTTTTATTGAAAAAGCTTTAAAAAATGTAACTTAATGATTTAAACAATATATGCTATATGGAAATTTTATGTGGTCACAGAATAAAATTAAAGCCAGAAAGAAATTGTGACCTATTTTCGAGCGTTTGGTGTTTTAGTCTTACCCGACCTAATTTCACATTTCATGTATGACGTACGATCAGGAACTGCATTGGCCTATTTCTATTGTTTTAATATACAATAACATGCTCCTGGTATAGCATGAAGGTGTTTAAAAATGGTATGAAACTTGTTTTAAAAATAACAAGAGGCCCAGGGGCCACATCGCTCACCTGAGCAATTGGCTAGGAAAAAGCACACATCAGATCAGAACTAAAAGTTTACTGAAGAGGGGGGGGGGGGGGGGGGGGAGTGTTGAATTTTAACCCCCCAGGGGGCCATGATACACTACCTGTGGATGATTCCCTATAAATATCACTAAGCATGGCTTTGAAGTACTTGAAAAGAAGATTTTTAAAGGTTTCCCTAGATATTCCAATGTAAAACTTTTATCGGCCATTTGGCCCCACTCTCCTGCCGGGGGTCATGATTTGAACAAACTTGTATCTACACTACCTGGGGATGATTCCACATGAGTTTCATCTTTCCCGGTCCAGTGATTCTTGAGAAGAAGATTTTTAAAGATTTTCCCTATATATTCCTATGTAAAATTTTGATCGACCATTTTGGCCCCACCCTACCCCCGGGGGTCATGATTTGAACAAACTTGAATCTACACTACCTGAGGATGATTCCACATGAGTTTCATCTTTCCGGGACCAGTGGTTCTTGAGAAGAAGATTTTTTAAAAAATGTCATTAATTTTTCTCTAATTCATAATTATCTCCCCTTGGAAAAGGGCTTGGCCCTTCATTTGAACAAACTTGAATCCCCTTTACCCAAGGATACTTTGTAGCAAGTTTGATTGAAATTGGCCCTGTGGTTCTTGAGAAGAAGATGAAAATGTGAAAAGTTTACAACAACGACAACGCCAAAGAGGACAACGATGACGACGACAACGACAGACAACGGACAAATTTTGATCAGAAAAGCTCACTTGAGCCTTTGGCTCAGGTGAGCTAATAAAAAGCAACACTGTATCAAGAGAAAACATGGATGGCCATATACATGTATTTGTAATATGTATCTTGAACTTAACATGTAGATTCCATGAGATTTTGAGAACCACAGTACACATGGTATACACCATGTAAAAATGTTTTATATATTTTCTTTCTTAATAATTATATTTAAAAGTCGTTTTATTAATTATCAATTTTATTTTAAAGATATTTAAAATTGCGACAGTGAATGAAAAGCTTCCTCTCTCTCTTTTCTCTCTATCTGCCTCTGAAACCTGACGAAGAATTTTTTTAACTAGATTGAAAAGGCCTGGGGAAGTTACAAGTATTATTTCAGCAGTTTCTATAATAAAGGAGGTTTTTATATATTTTTATAGATATCATGAGATACCGGTATCTGATTTTCATATTGCGATATATTATCGTGGTGGATAATACCGCAATATACCGATATACACCCATTCTCAATATAAGGGCTCAAACAATGTCGCCTCATTTTCATTTAGAAGAAATACCACTGATGTAATTTTCAAATCAACATTATAAATAGTCATATAACATTGAATAAGAATTCATATAATTATTGATCTAAAAGGGTATTTAAGGAGTTCCAAATTCAAATGTAGTAGCGTATTTGAAATGTACGTTACTGTCGCCGAGGCAAATATTATGCTGAATCCCCTCTGTGTAATATGCAGTTTTGATTATCAAGTAAAAAATTTCTGATAAGTTAAGCCTTGTATCATATATATTTCTTTTCATAACAATAAATACATTTTCTTTGTGATAAAAAATCATTTTTATTGTGCAATGTCCCTGTCGCTTAATTCTATTTCAACCACATTACAAGCAAACACAAAGATTATACACCTGATAGTTTTTTCTCCTTTATTTATTGATGGGCTAAATTTGAAATTTCAAAGGATTATTTACTCATACTTAGATAATGTAACATGAAATTGAACAATTTGAGCAACTTTTATAAATATGTTTACGGAATGAAAGACATTTTCAATCGTAGAGATAAGAAAGAAATGTACGTTACACTATATTCTTCCATTAAGAATATATATTAAGTATAAAATATGAGACGACTCTGAGTAAGCAACCCCTTGTACCCTGTAAACTGGCAAAGACGTTTTGCTTAGCACAATTAAAAATTATTTTTTACATGAAAAGTGATCATTTGAAATGTACGTTACTGAAATGTATGTTACCATGAAATTCGAATTAAGTGAATCTCGCACGAATTTTCATGTATTCTCATACTTTCACATACTCGAATGTGTACACAAAGGAAAGTTGCAAAGGTTGGAGGTCGGTTTAATCCTAAAATTAATGAAAAGAAACGTTTTTGTTGAGGAAAAAATTTATATTAAGGTCATTTATATGTAATATAATTTTGATACCTGATATATATTTCTGAATACGAAACCTGTACGATGCATTTCTTATGATATGCAAGTTCAAATAGTATCAATATATTGAGTGTCTAACGTATGCTTGTGGAAGAGAATTGATTTTTATATTTGAAATGTACGTTACGTATGGTAACGTACATTTTGCGTATTTCTAACTGGCATTTTTTTTTTTAAATTTAGTCAATGAATTGCGTTTACACGAGTGAAACAAAATAATCATTACAATTCATTTGACAACTGACCATATCAAGCCATCTAACTGCACCCCCAATCCTCGTAAATGTGGTAGACTGTTACCACATGCTAGAAAATTTATTTCTAAGCGTCTTAAATTCATCTTTGGCAACTTTTTGCAGTTTGTTTACTTTTAATATGCGACTTTTCGTCAATAGTCATTTAATTGTTGTTGATAATTCAAAACAAGGTATGCATAGGCTTATAATTGGTTAAAAACAAAAAACAAAACCAAAAAAAAAAAAAAAAATAAATAAATAAATAAATATACGCAAAACACAAGACGGTCACGTACATTTCAAATACTGAAAGGCACACAATACTCAGTTTTGTTTGAATCATTGCATTTTGGGTTATATTTTTCCAGATCTGCTGAAAAGCACGTATGTTTGTGTTTTGACAAACGATGTTGCAGCATACTAAATGAAATTGTTAACAAGACTGTCGATGGATATATTCGGAATAGATTTTGATCATTTATGTTAAGTTTCAATGGCCAAACACGAGCATTTGTTGGATCATAGCAAAATATGTCTTACTCTTATTTGTTTTTGTCTGTACCCTTGCACAAAGGTAGAAGAAGGGTATGGAGATAACAAACACTATAGACGTAACTACGCTACGGTGTCAATTTTAGCGGAACAGCACAAAAGAATGGTTGAACTGAAGTGGAGGGGACTCTCCAATAATATGTGAAATGAACGTTACCAAAGTGACGTGACATTCATGTAGTTGATGACAAATAACCTCGTTTGTTACATGATGATTTCTTATATTACTGCGTTAAAACGTTCATTGAAATGATTTTCATGTCAATAATTTTTTTTTCAATATTTACTTACATATTATTACAAGTTTGAAATGTACGTTACCTACTCATATTCTGAGGCAATCGTGTCTTTATAGTGGTGATTGTGACATATAACACAATGTGATTACATAGAGAATCTATTTTGGAGTAAACTGAAACAAAACGATGAATTTTTAGATGAATTTTAACCTTTTTTTTCATACAGAAATAAATCATGAAATGTACGTTATATTCACGTAGTTTTCTAAATCGGCATGGATATATGTTAAAAAAGACAGTAACTATAAAATAGAATTTTACTACATGTACATGTTAAGTTCCAGTATCTATAGAAAATGACAAGATTCCAAACTGATCGCTCTAAACAAAACAGAGAGAAGAATTTAAAGCATATATTATATAAGAATGTTTTTATACATCTGGATCAAAGAGTTACCTTTGTTTTTTGAAAGGAAAAATAAAATGCACGTTCGTATGCCGAGAGAATATGTTGCTGACAGAGTTGGTAGGATGTGCTGGTGTTAAGATGAGATATTCCAATTGTGATTTTTAATGACTACATTTTTTCTGTAGACCTTTTTGGACATTGCAGAAAGAGTAACGTACATTTCCAGCTACATTTCTGAATAAAATAACCCCCTACTTCAACGTCTTGTCATTATTCCATGCATTAAAATTTGATGAAAAAAAGGTTGTAACAAAATCTTCAGATATTTTCTTTCAAAGGTAATTGATAGAATAATTGTAATCTTGAACTTCATTTTTTTAAAAATCAGAGTGGCATTTGTGCCCTTATATTGAGAATGGGTGATACTGGTAATATTGCACAGCCCTAACAGGTATATTGGTAATAATGATGTCATTGGCACTTGATCTTAAATTTGGTTTCCCTATAGCTAAGAATCTTTGCAGATATGCAAGCAATCTGATTAAAATCAGATCAGATTGATATGCAAGGTACATATAGAACTAAACGAGATCCATAAACGTTTCCTTTCAATAAATGGGTTATATCCCTTAGACTTTTTTCCATTTCAAACATTCTGATAGCAATGCTCTTATAAAAGATTTTCTGTAAAGCAAAAATTCTCTCAACTACCATACTGATTTAGCTATGGAAGCATGCAATAAACATTTTCTCAATAAATCAACTTTCAAACCTATGTAAAATCATTTTAACTACCAGGGCATGACAAAATCGGCTTTAATATCCTTCAAAAATTATTCTTATAGAAAGATGCATGCTTTCATTTAAGTGACGTACATAACAATTTTGGGAATTCCAAACAGTTTGACAAATGTCTGCCTTATTACAACATTACTGTACAAAAGATGTATCTAACTCCCTGCAGCTACTTTAATGATCTATTCTATTAAATTTAGCAAGACCCCTAAACACTTTTCCTGCTGTTTTTTCTAAAGATAAATACCACAAACTTAATCAATATAAAGCCAATGCAAAATTCCCATTCATAGGATGAGCACTTCAAGAGGGGATGAAATTAGGTCATCTACTATGAATATACTGTAATTACATTTGTATATATATCAAGATTTATTAATATGACCATGAATTGAGGTATCTTTGGTCTCAAGTGTTTACTTAAAGCATTGTGAAAAATATGTGTAAAATATACTTAAGAGGAATTTTTCAGCTCTGAAAATAGATACACTTAGCTATTGATGAATAAATCATTGAACCATCATTGAGTACCTAATTATCAGTATTGCCCCCCCCCCCCCCAAACACATACATGGTAAAGATAAGTTGGAAATGATAAAGACATGAAGATTTTAACTTAATGTAAACATACCACAATTCTCTAAGTCTGACAATAATAGATTTAATTTCTATAAATATTCTTACCACCACTAGATTTAGAAGAATTTGGATCCTCCTCCTTACTGTCTAAGGATACAGGTGCTCCTGGTAGCAATGCCTACAGAGAAAATTTCCTCATTAATGATTTAAAATCTCTCAGCTAATTAATCTGCAAGCAGCTGAATTTGCACAATTAGCTGATATAATTTTTTTTTACAAAAATCACCAGGATCTATAAATGGTGGGATGGTCAACTTTTTACAGGTAGTTCAATATTTTAATAGATCAAGATTTGTGTTCATGCAGTAAAACTCTCATTTATTCACTGAAGCTAACCCAATGTACAGCAGTTAGTATGAATAGGCCAATGGGTATTTCTTGACCTGTGTGCATTAAATTAGATGTGTGCAGTAAATCTAGACCAAAACAAATTACACCTGAATTATAACAGTAAATCTAACCTGTGTTATGTAAACACTTATGTTATGTAAAGATTTACATATGATTTATAGACTACATGTGTAAATGGATCTAGATATGAATGTATATAGTTAATCTAGACCTGTGCACTGTACATCTAGACCCATGTACTGTAAATCTAAAGACCTGTGTACTGTAAATCTAGAATGTGTAATGTAAATCTATTGACCTGTGTAATGTAAATCTATAGACCCGTGTACTGCAAATCTATAGACCTATGTACAGTAAATCTATAGACCTGTGTACTGTAATCTAGACCTGTGTGTTGTAAATCTAGACCAATGTAATGTAAATCTATAGACCTGGGTTCTATAAATCTATAGACATGTGTACTGTAAATCTATAGACCTGTGTACTATAAATCTAGAATGTGTACTGCAAATCTATAGACCTATGTACTGTAAATCTAGACATGTGTACTGTAAATCTACAGACCTGTGCACTGTTAATCTATAGACATGTGTACTGTAAATCTAGACCTGTGTGCTGTAAATCTAGACTTGTGTATTGTAAATCTAGACCTGTGTACCATAAATCTATAGACATGTGTACTGTAAATCTATAGACCTGTGTTGTGTAAATTTACAGACCTGTGTAATGTAAATCTAGACCTGTGTACAGTAAATTTAGACCTGTGTACTGTAAATCTATAGACCTGTGTACTGTAAATCTATAGACCTGTAAACTGTAAATCTATAGACCTGTATACTATAAATCTGGATCTGTGTACAGTAAATCTAGACTTGTGTATTGTAAATCTATAGACCTGTGTACTGTAAATCTATAGACCTGTGTAATGTAAATCTATAGACCTGTGTAATGTAAATCTATAGACCTGTGTACTGTAAATCTATAGACCTGTATACTGTAAATCTATAAACATGTATACTATAATTCCAGACCTGTGTACAGTAAATCTAGACCTGTGTACTGTAAATCTAGACCAATGTACTGTAAATCTAGAACTGTGTAATGCAAATCTATAGACCTGTGCACTGTAAATCTATAGACCTGTGTAATGTAAATCTATAGACCCGTGTAATGTAAATCTATAGACCCGTGTAATGTATATCTACAGACCTGTGTACTGTAAATCTATAGACCTGTGTAATGCAAATCTATAGACCTGTGTAATGTAAATCTATAGACCTGTGTACTGTAAATCTATAGACCTGTATACTGTAAATCTATAGACCTGTGTACTGTAAATCTATAGACCTGTGTACTGTAAATCTATAGACCTGTGTACTGTAAATCTATAGACCTGTGTACTGTAAATTTACAGACCTGTGTAATGTAAATCTAGACCTGTGTACAGTAAATTTAGACCTGTGTACTGTAAATCTATAGACCTGTGTACTGTAAATCTATAGACCTGTAAACTGTAAATCTATAGACCTGTATACTATAAATCCGGATCTGTGTACAGTAAATCTAGACTTGTGTATTGTAAATCTATAGACCTGTGTACTGTAAATCTATAGACCTGTGTAATGTAAATCTATAGACCTGTGTAATGTAAATCTATAGACCTGTGTACTGTAAATCTATAGACCTGTATACTGTAATTCTATAAACATGTATACTATAATTCCAGACCTGTGTACAGTAAATCTAGACCTGTGTACTGTAAATCTAGACCAATGTACTGTAAATCTAGAACTGTGTAATGCAAATCTATAGACCTGTGCACTGTAAATCTATAGACCTGTGTAATGTAAATCTATAGACCCGTGTAATGTAAATCTATAGACCCGTGTAATGTATATCTACAGACCTGTGTACTGTAAATCTATAGACCTGTGTAATGCAAATCTATAGACCTGTGTAATGTAAATCTATAGACCTGTGTACTGTAAATCTATAGACCTGTGTACTGTAAATCTATAGACCTGTGTACTGTAAATCTATAGACCTGTGTACTGTAAATCTATAGACCTGTGTACTGTAAATCTATAGACCTGTGTACTGTAAATTTACAGACCTGTGTACAGTAAATCTAGACCTGTGTACAGTAAATTTAGACCTGTGTACTGTAAATCTATAGACCTGTGTACTGTAAATCTATAGACCTGTAAACTGTAAATCTATAGACCTGTATACTATAAATCCGGATCTGTGTACAGTAAATCTAGACTTGTGTATTGTAAATCTATAGACCTGTGTACTGTAAATCTATAGACCTGTGTAATGTAAATCTATAGACCTGTGTAATGTAAATCTATAGACCTGTGTACTGTAAAACTATAGACCTGTATACTGTAAATCTATAAACATGTATACTATAATTCCAGACCTGTGTACAGTAAATCTAGACCTGTGTACTGTAAATCTAGACCAATGTACTGTAAATCTAGAACTGTGTAATGTAAATCTATAGACCTGTGTACTGTAAATCTATAGACCTGTGTAATGCAAATCTATAGACCCGTGTAATGTAAATCTATAGACCCGTGTAATGTATATCTACAGATCTGTGTACTGTAAATCTATAGACCTGTGTAATGCAAATCTATAGACCTGTGTAATGTAAATCTATAGACCTGTGTACTGTAAATCTATAGACCTGTATACTGTAAATCTATAGACCTGTGTACTGTAAATCTATAGACCTGTGTACTGTAAATCTATAGACCTGTGTACTGTAAATCTATAGACCTGTGTACTGTAAATTTATAGACCTGTGTACTGTAAATCTCTAGACCTGTGTACTGTAAATCTATAGACCTGTATACTATAAATCCAGACCTGTGTACAGTAAATTTATAGACCTGTGTACTGTAAATCTCTAGACCTGTGTACTGTAAATCTATAGACCTGTATACTATAAATCCAGACCTGTGTACAGTAAATCTAGACCTGTGTACTGTAAATCTAGACCAATGTACTGTAAATCTAGAACTGTGTAATGTAAATCTATAGACCTGTGTAATGTAAATCTATAGACCTGTGTAATGTAAATCTTCAGACCTGTGTACCATAAATCTAGACCTGTGCACTGTTAATCTATAGACCTGTGTACTGTAAATCTATAGATCTGTGTTCAGTAAATCTAGACCTGTATACTGTAAATCTATAGACCTGTGTACTGTGAATTTAAATCTTTGCACTGTATATCTAGAACAATGTACTATAAATCTTGTACTGTAAATCTAGACCTGTGTACTGTAAATCAAGACCTGTGTACTGTGAATCTAGACCTGTGTACTGTGAATCTAGACCTGTGTACAACAGGGGACAATTTTTTTTAAAAGAACTTATGACTAAGATCAAAATTTCTTTATTTACATTGATTTGAAAATTGTTTTTAGATCTTTTTTAAAAAGAATTTCACAAGATTTTTTATGCTAGCATTTTTCAAAGAACATTATTAATTTTACAATTAACCAAGATTTGGTCTTAGTCATAAGTTCTTTTGTAAAAGGGGCCCCAATTTTACAATTTCTTTGATAGAATGTAACCTGTGTATAATAAGTCCTGCTCGTGTTTGCTCCCAGAAGTTTGGTTTCTATAGCTGACTGAATGCTGGCAATGATGGCCTCCTCATGAAGAAAATGAACCTCGTGTTTTGTAGGGTGTACGTTGACATCTACATTCTGAGGAGCAATTTCTAAACTGAAAATATAAAACTTAAAATTAGTGTAATGCTCTCTAAAGACTATATACTTAAGATTCCTAAATATATATAAGAAACAAGTTACTGCATCATTTCACAATAAGTACCATTAGCAAAATTTATCTACTTCCTTTAATTTATACTTAGTCCTTCCACTATATAGTAAATATTCTATAATCAGGATCCACTGGTTTCATACAAATTTGCCAAATAAGACAGTTTTGATTACCGTAAATCTGGAAATTTTTGCTGTATATAAATTTTTGGCAAATTTGCGAGTGCATTGCATTCACAAAAATATTTTTCTTAAAAATAAATCACTAATAAGAAAATGTAAACAAAGCAGTGGTCATTCGCAAAATTTTGAAACGTAAAAATTAATCAAAAGCATTTTGACCCGAATTCGCAAAATAAAATTGACGTAAAAATTTCTAGATTTACGGTATATGAAAAAATCCTTTTCAATTTCAATGTAAATTAATTTAAAAAGAACCAGTGAAAAGGGGAAAGATACCCAGCTTCTTAGTGGAACTCCAACCATATGAATACATTCATATTGATAATATTCTTACAGAAATGTTCAACATGCAAAATTTCTTTTTGATGTAAAAATTGAATAGTTGGTGCAGAGGAAGAAAAAAAGAAAAGTCTTTTTCTCTTTTTAGATATTTTTGGAACAAAAAAATCAAGCTTTTATTGTCAGTTTTTGGATCAATGCCTTTAAAAGTAATTAAGATTTCTATTATTTTGTGTTTTTAAAAATGTAGAAAATGTATTAATATCTTATGTTTGCAATTGTCAGAAAAATACAATAAAATGTCAAAAATAACATCAATTATCTGAACACAAAAGAATATATGCTAGTAGATAATGAATTTCACAATAATGCAACAACAAAAATGACTAAGTAGGGCCCATTTATTTCAACAATGACTTCAATATACTTTTACAAAAACCACATCATTGACCTATTTTACACCTGACAATCGAATTGGTAAAAAAAATAAACAAAAAACAAAATAGTATAATAACTAAATAAAAAAATCTTCTGTCTCCTTTGTGTATATGCATCATTTTCTAAAAACAATGAAATCACACCTATGTTTATTTCATGCAGATTTTCTATCCTTTTCCCCAGAACAATGATTAACATTGAAACAATTTTCTCAGGATTGTTCCCAAATGATTTTCAAATGATGCGATCTATAGTTAATGGTCATTATTTTTATATGAACAAAGTCCTGCTTCATAATATAATGGGTATAATTTGACTTTTCAATTACATGTTTTTCATGGCCAGGGTCCCATGTGTCTTGACCTACGATCTGTTATTATGTACTGATCGTAACAGGTCTTTAGGACGGAAAAAACACCCATGTGCTTTACTGGCTCCAAGACCATAAACTTAGACAAGTTCACTTCTGATCTCAATCAATTTCAATTTTTTCACAATAAATTCCTTATGTGAAAGTTAGACTGAGATTAAAAGTGAACTCGTGCAGTTTTATGGCCCCCCAGGCTTGACCTCCAAAAAAAAATTTTTGTCATTCTGAATTGAAATCATTAAAATTGGAAAATAAAAAAAAATTCTAAATTCTAAATTAGAATACACATTTTGATGACCTAAGTGATCTCATTCTATCTATTGACTAAACTGAGTGATTTAAAAAAAAAAAAACTTGTCATAATTGACATATCTGAGTATGTTTCTATATAAATATGACTAATCAGGACTGTTCTTGAGAAGTAAGTTAAGGATTTTCTCTAAATTTTCCTAAGTAGATGTAAAACTTTGATTACATGTTTTTGCCAAACCCTACCCCATGGGTCATGATTTGAACAAAACTTGCACTTGGTAAAAAGGTTTCACTTTATATTTATTTTTTTTATTTTCCTACCTTGTGGCTCTTGAGAAGAAGAATATTCAAGGATGACTTCAAATTTTAGTATCTTAAATATATTGAAAGGTTCAACTGTCATTGAAATTGAAACAATGTAGTGTGTCTAATTCTACTATTATAGTAAAACTTGTTTAATTAGAACTAGAACTGTCCAATAGGGACAAATACCCCCCGCTGGGTTTTTCAGAGAAGGTGCCAATTTACAATACTTTATGGATCTAGAGGTGTTCACAATTTACTTACAAAAATTTGAAGTGAAATATATATTTAATTGCTCATTATGTTTCTTAATGAATGAAACAAAAGTGCTACCAAATGAAACATCAATACTAATACACTGTATTCATGGTAATTCCATTGTAACATTTTTTTCTATTTCTGCATTAAAGAAATATATTGCAATTGTGTGTCATGAAACTCTGCAAACTGATTGTTGAAAAAAAAATCATTATACAAAATCAAATTAATCTTGATATATCAAATTCATTTTGAAAACTAGAAAACTGACCAGTCAGCAAGGGCCCCGCCATGGGGTAGAATTAAAAGGGTGCAGCTTACAGAATGATTAATAAATGTACAAAGAAAAAGCAACAGCAACTGTATTCTTAAAATTTCAAGATAATTCCTGAATATTCAAAAACCTGAAAATAATATCCATGTATTTACATTAGGCAGTAAAGAACAACTTAACATTGAATGTATATTTAAACAATTATGAATCTTGTGTTATATAAAATGCCAGCCTTCAATGAATGCAAATATCATGAAGGCTTGACCTTAACTTCAAACAAACAGCAGTTGCAGACAATTTAAGGTTTTCATTAATCTTAAAGTGACAGATAAAGAAAAGCCTACTAAATTTTCTGCAGCAGGCTAGATAATTAGTTCCAAGGGATAAATTCTACCTCTCTCATCATTTTCTTCTAAATTTACAATAAGAACTTTTTCAGTATTAATGATAGAATGGGTTTATTTATACAATTACATTAAAAATTAAAAATATTCTTGAATTCATTTATTTAAAAGAAGTGAGAAAAGTGAAAAAAAAAAGTACCCTGATAAATCAAAAAATCTTCTTTAATCTATTTTTTTTTTTTAGAATTTAATGAAATCATAACTATCAAACAAAAAAAAATAAAAATTTATATTTAAATCCACATTTCAGAGTGTTCATAGCATTCCAAATTGATTTAACTTCAAAACAAACTTCATTTGCAGACAGAGGTGGTAATTAATCTCAATGTGACAGATAAAGATAATGCTCTGGATTTTCTTCAGGAGGAAAGCTAATTAATCTCATGGGACTCCTAGCAGCATTCAGTTTACTGAATGGGAACATCTTCAGCAGTTATCTCTCTTTGCCAATTGAATGCATTCTTACATAAAGTAAAGGAATCTACCCCACCACCCCAGCTCCAAACCAAGGGACATAGAGAACCAAACTTAGCATCAAAATATGTATTTTTGCCTACTGAACTACCGTACCAAATTTGATCTTAATTGGGCAACCATAAAAAAAGTTGCCCGTTCATTCTTATGCATAGTTAAGGAATCTACCCCACCACCCCAGCTCCAAACTAGAAGACATAGAGAATTAAACTTAGCATCAAAATATGTATTTCTGCCTATTGAACTACCATACCAAATTTGAACTTAATTGGGCAACCATAAAAAAAGTTATTAGAAAAAAAACAGAAAATTTGTGGACGGAAGAGTGAAAGACGGACAGACAGACAGACAGACAGACGGACAGACGGACGGACAGACAGAGTGATTACTATAGGGCACCCGCAAATCCTTGCGGGGCCCTAATAAAGAGCTGGTCATCCAGTAATGAAGTGCTTTGACAGACAATAAATTACAATTTAGAGAATAAGAGAAGAGAGATCTTTAATTCTTGTGCCTTATTCCCTGGAGATTAGATAACACAGATGCTCGATAAGAGATATGCCTTAACTTCCAATACCAAACTCATTAATTTTTCTTTAACTGGACGCATGTCCAGTCATTATTCCCAAGAGACAAATGAATTTACATTATCTTCTGTGTAATGTAAAAACTGTTTTAAACATAAGTTGATGTTTCTTTTTTTAGTTTTAATGAGTTGTTTTAAGCTATAGTTCACATTTTGTACAGATATTCTAGATTCTATGTCTCAAACCTTATACATGAGTCCAAAATGAACAAGTCAATTAAAATAAACAAGAGGCCCACGGGCCTTATAGGTCACCTGAGTATTGTGTATCAACTTTCAAACAATTAAATTTGGTTCGTGTTTTAAACCAGAGACCATGAAATTCACAATTCACAATTTTGAGAGAGGCACCATTGCTTATCATAATTAAAAATACTCTACTTACTCAATACCCAGAGGTAGATCAGAGTTACAAAGAGAAAGTGTTCAGTTCTTCCACTTTATAACCAGTTGTGCACCTCACCCCAAAAGATCCACTGACCCTGGGGCCACATATTTCAAAATTTTGCAAATTTTAATCATAAAATGGTTGATTAATACCAAAGAGCAGGTTTCAAAGCATTAATTTATTTTCAGACTATGTACCCCCCCCCCCCCTCGGGACATAAAAATAACCATTTTGCTAGATGCACCTTTCTTCATCATAAATATATATACTTGGATCATTGGCATAAAATTCACTATTTTGGAAAAGGCACTCTTGCTCATCATAACTATGTGCTTAGTTAGTTTATTTAATACCCAGAAGCAGAGGAGAAGATTTTCAAAGAATAAATGCATTTTCACTATATAATCTATAGAGCCCCGCCCTAACACCAGAACCCCTGACCCTGGGGCCATAAAATTCACAAATCTAGAAGAGGCACTCTTGCTCATCATAACTATGTACTAAGTTAGTTTAATTAATACCCAGAAGCAGAGAAGAAGATTTTCAAAGAATAAATGCATTTTCACTATATAATCTATAGAGCCCAGCCCTAACACCAGAACCCCGGACCCTGGGGCCATAAATTTCACAATTTCGGATAAGGCACTCTTGCTCATCATAACTATGTGCTTAGTTAGTTTATTTAATACCCAGAAGCAGAGAAGAAGATTTTCAAAGAATAAATGCATTTTCACTATATAATCTATAGAGCCCCGCCCTAATACCAGAACCCCTGACCCTGGGGCCACAAAATTAACAAATCTGGAAGAGGCACTCTTGCTCATCATAACTATGTACTTAGTTAGTTTATTTAATACCCAGAAGCAGAGAAGAAGATTTTCAAAGAATAAATGCATTTTCACTATATTATCTATAGAGCCCCGCCCTAACACCAGAACCCCTGACCCTGGGGCCATAAAATTCACAAATCTGGAAGAGACACTCTTGCTCATCATAACTATGTACTAAGTTAGTTTATTTAATACCCAGAAGCAGAGAAGAAGATTTTCAAAGAATAAATGCATTTTCAATATATAATCTATAGAGCCCCGCCCTAACACCAGAACCCTAGACCCTCGGGCCATAAAATTCACAAATCTGGAAGAGACACTCTTGCTCATCATAACTATGCACTTAGATAGTTTATTTAATACTCATGAGCAGAGAAGAAGATTTTCAAAGAAATAATGCATTTTCACTATATAACCTGTTTAGCCCCACCCTAGCACTAGAACCCCTGACCCTGGGGCCATGAATTTCACAATTTTGGTAGAGGACTCAATGCTCATTACATTGATGCTATCAGTTTGCCTGCTTGATGTCCAGGAGTAAAGAAGAAGATTTTTAAAGATTGCACTAATTTTAGTGGTTTTGGCCCCACCCCTCAGGCCCCAGGGGGGCGGGGACCATGAAATTCACAATTTTTGGTCCCCTTCATCCATAGATGCTGTATACCAAATTTGGTTGAAATTGGTTTGGTGGTTTCAGATAAGAAGCTGAAAATGTTCAAATGTTAACACACGACGCACGACACACGACACACGACGCACGACGACGGACGAAAATGGATAGCAATAGGTCACCTGAGTTACTCAGGTGACCTAAAAATAAAACCTGTAAAATGCAGAAAAATGGACAAATAAAGTTGAAAATTCCAGGTGCATACCTTCATATGGTGAATAATAAGTGTACAAATTTTCAGATAAATCCTTGCAATAGTTTGTGAGAAACGGTCTGCACAAGACCACAAAATAGAAATGAAAAAACACCTGTAAAATTCAAAATAATCATCCAATCAAGATGAAAATATCAGGTGCACACCTTCATATGGTGAATAATATGTGTATAAATTTTCAGACAAATCCTTCCAATAGTTTCTGAGTAATGGTCGGGACAAAATCTCGTCTACAGACAGACGGACAGACGGACATGGTGATTCCAATATACCCCCCCTAAACTTCGTTTGCGGGGGGTATAATAAACTTCGTTTGCGGGGGGTATAACAAACATGGATATTGCAAAGGCATGGATATAGCTAAGTTGGATCTTGGATCCCCAGCAAAAGAAATTTAATGAATTCCATATACGGAATAATAAATTATGGATATGTAGCAAAGTAATTTGACAGGTCCCAGTGACTTGGTTATAACTGAGTTTTACTGTACCTTAGATAGGCAAAGGGATGCATGTTTTTGGGAAGATAAGCTTGGTAGATGGTGTCCACAGCTTTACGTAGAGAGGAGGAATCTACCAGTCGGTCTACAAATACACAAAATAATTAAGCACAAAGATATGAGAAACACATATCTTGGAAGGAAGTAGAGTTGAACTTCATTGAATACTGTAAACCAACTTTTATTCGTGACGACTTTATTTCGCAGTTTACAAGGGAAAAACAAGTTCGCGACAATTAATTTTCGTTTTTAAATGTGACCTTTTCCAGGAAATTGTTCTCTCCTATACCTGCTACAAATCAAATCTTTAATTTGTTATTACACGAATACATCCTAAAGAAATCTTATCTATTGTGATTAATTAAAGGATATTGTTTAAATTAACTTTAAGACACATGATGCTGCATATCAAACTTCAATACTTACGGTTAATAAAAAGAAGAAATATACATTTCTTCAGAGAGTAATTAGCATTCGTCACGTAACCATGGCATCTGAAGGATAATTTCTTGTCCTCATGTTGAATTTCCAATAGTTCTCTGTAAAGAGACACCAACATTTTTTTTATTTAAACATAAAAGTTCCCTGAATTTTTACTGTATAGATACATTATGAGTAGATTTCTGACTAAAGATATAAAACAAGTTGCAAGAAGCTAACAGAATCAATGTAATTGCAATGTTGATAAATAAAGTAGATCTCGTCAATTCTTGCAACTGTAAAGTTGCAATTTTTAAGAATCTGCAAGTTTATCATCTTAAATAACAGAAAATATATATGAATTATTCTAAGGTTAATAATCATGAATTTGGTACAATTTGGTTTTTGATATCCTTTAATACAAAAAGTTTTCCATTTCCAGGGTTCTCCACAAGGGGTTTTACCATGACGGCCGCCATGGTTCAAATTATTTGCACCGTGGTTAAAATCAGCAGCTGCCATGATTAAATTCTATCGCTTTTCAGTCCTGACCCGTACTTTTTTGATGACTTAAATGAGTAGTTAATTGTGTTTATACAACGACTGCCATGCACCTCGAGAGAAAGCCAGGTCGTGCTAAAACAAACTGTCATTAATCAGCGACTATGCTGTGGAGCGTGTCAATAAAGAGTCAGCTGATGATCAATATTTTGAGAGCTAATTATCCTCTACATATTAAGTACATAATTTTGGGGAACTTCAACATGTTCACTTCTTGATTAGACCTAGATAACGGGTTTATAAAAGATGATTGACAATTAGGCTGTTTAAAGTTAATTCTACGTTTAACGTCACTTCTAAAGTTCAAAACCTACGAGGGAGGGAGGAAAAAAATAAACAAACAAAATTTTCAAACAATGGTGAATTTATTCAAATTAACCTATTCAGTACATTAAAAACATTACAATTAAGTAATATGAGCATTTAATTGATATGGCACCTAAGATTAATTTTCCTAGCAGAGTTTTTCCTTAGTGTGTAAATCAGTTTGAGTCCTATTGTTAGCGAAAATGTAGTCTAAGACTGAATGTGCAGGAAAGTGGCTTTTAACTAGGTCTCAGTTGTCCTTTGGATTTATATTGCCACACGTCCATGGTACCCTGGAGGCAAATGCTTCTTCTTGTGGAAATAGTTGCTCAATATCTACAATTAAAATTATTGATGACAATATTTAAAACTGTTCATGCTGAAATATCCTCAAATTGAATTATGTCGTATTTTTTCTTAGTACTAGATCTACTAGCATTAAGTTTTGAAAGTGTGAATACTAATATTTGGACCATACTGATAGCTGTTAGACTATCTTTAATACCTTGAATTCCACACAAAGGACATGATTCTTCACTTCTTGGAATACCTCAAACCACTTTCCTTACTCTCCTTCACTTGAAAGGCCCTATCTTCGGTAAGCTTCTCCCTGCTCAAATGGTTAAGACAAGTATTATCTTTTCCAAAAATTGTAGCTATTTGTACTGGTACATGAATATTATGAAGAAATCAATTATCTTACTCATTACTGTTCCTTTCGATTTTTACAGAATTTTTTTTTAATATTAAATAAATTAAATAAGATTTAAATGATGCTTTTCACTGTTTATAAATATTGGTTTTTGACACACTTTCCACTCAGTAAAAAAGTTTTTCGATTGTCTCCAAAATACAATGAAAAGTTCAGCCAATAATCACGAACTGAGAGTCTGTCAGTCTGTACATGTGATTCGAAGACTGACAAAAAATCAACAAACTAGACTTTGTCATTAACTTCAATCATAAAATCATCTATTTTTTACTTACATTTATGGTCCCAAGCTCTTTAATTCACTAGTTTTCTTTAATAAGACACCAACTGCCTTTTTACTGCGACTGTCAAAGCACATTTTCTGTCACTATGGGAAGCAGAATTTAGTCGCTAATTGTAGAACCAAACCGGAACGGACATACGGAATTCCGAATTGTTTGTTTTTTCAAAGACGAATTTCTCATAAACCTACGCGCGCAGGTGACGTTAAACATAGTTTTAATTTTAGACAGCCTTACGAGTATGAGCATGATAATCGTCATGCATCGGATTCAAGTTTTTGTGCCAGAAAAAAATTACTCTTTCAAAATTTCATATTCCTCTGTATTTAATCAATATCCTATGCTCTGTTTTTTTAAGTTTAACTTCATTATTTTTCTGATGAAATGTACATATTGTACATAAGTGACAATCGCAGTCTTAGTTTTTGAATTACTTCCTGTTTTTATGAAACGTCGCATGGCGCTACTTTTCGCACTGGGACACGTGGAGAAGTAATCAAAGGGGTAAACTCGGTTAAAAATGCAATATTTAGAAAAATAGAACGTTTAGAAAAAAAGAAAAAAAGGAAAACTAGTCCAAATGTTCCTTTGTGTGTTAACTTAAAATAAAGTACTACCCATTCATTCTCTTTTTAGTCATATTAAAACAAAACGTTTCATACAACAGGCTAAACTTATAATTATTAGTTTCTGAATAATATTGCCATGGTTACTGTATCAAATGTTTTTCTGTAAATTCCTTCAAAGGTTTTTACAGTTTTGGGTAAATTTTTGTACATTTGTGAAGCAAGATACATAATCCTTTTTATTTCAATTAAATTATTCTTTTTTGCTTTAAAATTGTTGGTTATCTCAATGTTTTGTGTTGCATTGGTTAAGTTTAAAAATTTTAAAACCAATCATTGATTAATGAAGATTGGGAAGTCTAACATGCATTCGTGTTTTCGGTCACTTTTTATCTTCGCGCAGCTTCCTCCATGGTTAAATTTTCAAATTTGGAGAACCCTGCATTTCCCTAGCTGGGAAAAAAAAAAATTAGAGTGCTGAAAAACGATTGGAGTAGGGGTGATTTTGAAATTAATTTAAGTTAATTTTGAAATATATGACAAAGATCAAGTTCAATGGTCACAAGGTTGATAATAATTGTATTTAATAAAAGCCATAGTCCCAAGCAAAACATAATATGTAAAAAAAAAACTTCTTACAGTTCTCAACATAAAGAGTTTAACATACTAGAAAGACCTTGGGCAAAATAGTCCCCTTGTTAAATGATCTCCATGTTACTCTGCTTTGCATGTGACCTAAAAAAAAATCCTTACAGAAAACCACTGCTTTTGTGGTATGTGGCCAAGTTATATCTATCATCCCATGCAAAGTCAGCTTGATTATTGTCCAATTGCAAAAAATAAGCCACTGTAGAGTGTACATAACTTTTTTTTTACAGGTTGTGCTATAATGACAACTAAAAACACATTTACGTTTAATGCAGTAATGAGTAAGTTACACATTCGTACTAATTTTATTTATTTATTTATTTTTTTTCTATTTGCAACTGTTTTTTTTATTATGATGGACAACAGTTGTGCCCACTCTGTCATGTTTAAAGGGATTTTTGTTCAGTTTTTGTTGGCATAATTGCCAATTGGCTAAAAAATAGTCACCAATCAAGTCTCCACAATTTGTATTACAGGTTGGGCTTTGATGACTGACAGCTAAAAACTTGTATGTTCAAGGCAGTTTGACCAAATAACATGTTCATACTTTGTATACAGTTAAACTTGTCATAGCGGTCACCTCTATCCATTGGTCACCTGTCCTATGTGGTCATTTTATTTCCTCCCAATGCAATTTCCTACATAAAGTAACTCTATTAAAGGTCACCTGCATAACTCAGTCAGAAGTCCTCAAATTTCATTCCCATTTTTTCTATGTTTAAGCAGCCATTTTGTCCAATCACATGACCTGACCTGGAGTCAGCTGATTCCCAATATTTGTTACTAAATGTTAATAATTGGTCAAGTGCTGCAGTATCAAGAACAAAATAATACACATGACCTATATTTAAAGCCAGTTTTATTATTGGATAACCATGAAAATCAAAAACTGATACACATCTTAAGTTAAATCGAAATCAAACCATAACTCTAGGAGGAGTAGCATCTTGAAAAATTGTTTACAGACAGATGAACAGAAAGACAAACAGATGGAGATGCCAGATGGACACTTTACTATTGCAAAAGCTCTTTTGGTCTCTGACCAGTGGAGGTAATTAATATAGGTCAGCTAATACAGGAGCACAATAAGTGCCCATGGGGATTCCAATAGTTTGTTGGAAGACCTGATCTCTGAAGACTACATAAATGTTTACACTGAGGAACTCAAGCATCCTTTCAATATCAACTTCAGAGTACTTTTGTGTAGATTTAGTATTTTTTAACAAGAGGAATGGTTGTATAAAGTGGAGAGAATTTGTGTTTTGATATTAACTGACCATTGCATTTGGTAATTCTAAATTTTCTAAAATTTATCTGGAGTTTGTGAGAATCCACATCTAATTTATACCATTTCTAGAATATGGTGTAGAACACTATGTCTATAGTTTCTCCGTTAGTGTAGCGAGCGGATCTAACATCTACATGTAATTTTAATTAGATTGCAGTTTCTCCTGAACAAGCTTTTTTCTTTCCACTGTTGGAAGGTCTCTCAATACAGGTTTGACTGTATATTTCATAATCTGAGTGACAAAGTGTTCAGATCTTCTTTTTATATTAAACCCAATGTCTGGCATAATCTTTGACAGACCTTATAATAGAAATAAAGTTCTGTAGCCAATTGCTAGATCAGGGCTCCCTGTACTCAGGTCCTTTTAAAGACGGTCGCTTTAGGGTCTTCATTTTTAACTAGACTGATATCAACAGTAATTATGTGTCCAGTGGGAATATAAAGGAAAGAAGAAGAAATAAACATGAGCTCTTGAGAGGATTTTGTTTTAGTTGTTTAATTATCTGAAGCCCTGTAAAGATCGTTTATAATTGAAAAGTTTGGAAGCACGTACAATTTGTAAATAATAAAATTAATTAATGTACCTCAAAAGTTTAAGTCTTTTTGATTAATTGATTGACTATAGCTGTATTACGCCGAGTCAGCAATATTTCAGCCATATTTTGGAGGTATGAATTTAAATACTGTATGAGCCTACTCTTCTACAAAAATCAGATAAACAATCTTTGGCATGCTATGGGGGACAAACTTTTCTACAACTCATACTGGTGAGAAAAATCTGCTAGTGAAAGAGTTAAGAGCATGACCATATTAACCCAGGTGAGCTCTGTGGCCCATGAGCCTCTTGCATAACATTAAGTGCTATATTTGCTTCCCTGATATGTTGGGATTTGGCCAGAAATGTCAATTCTACCTACATATATGACATGGTTATGTCCATCTTAATAAGGGCATTTATATAACCCACACAAGTGTTGGCCTAAATTATCATCGTATAATTATCACATAATGCAGCATATAAACAAAGAGCACAAAACTATTATCAATCGCAATGGACAAAAGTTATAAAAACCTTGTCCTTGCATTAGTGAAGAAATGCGCCTTATGGTCCTCTATGATGTAAACTTCTTTTGACTGTCTGCAGCTATTTTTAGACACGGATTATTATTTCTCCCACTTTGGGTGACAGTGCGACATTGCCCTAGCCCATCACCTTGACAATACAGCGACATTAATCAAGCCGTAATGACAAATTTAGCGACACTCCACAGAGTGTTGTGTTTATTCTTACAAAAAAAAGAAAAAAGAAAAAAATAGAAATTGCATTACGGTTGATAATTGACTTGTTGGACTGACATTTATTTGGATTTTTTTTTATTTTTTATCTAAATCGAGTAACATACCTTGTTTGATTTTTTTTTATTTACTGGACTTATTTGAACTTTAAGGTAAGGACAATTTTTATAATTTTCTTTTTTTCCAATAAATTTTTTATTGACTGAAACAGCACTTTTTTATCCACCAATTTCTTTCATTGAATAAATTCAGATTTTATTTTCCCCTGAATTTCAAGTGCAAGAATAAATAAATTTCCTATATACTGTACTTAAAAATTTTAATCTTAAATTACATATTTTCCTAATTGCACATTTTCAACTTTAGACATTTACATATAGTACAAAAACATTAAACCAAAAGTGAAAAACAATTTTAAATTATTAATTTATTCATAAAAGTATTCAAACATTTTTTATTTCAAAATTTCATACTTTGGCATGTCCCAGAAGTTTTTTTTTTTAATTAGGGCCACAGAAACACACTAATTGGCACTATATTTTTTTTAGAAGGGGGAGGGGGTAGAATAATGAAGTGAAGAATGTCTGTTTGTCAAATGCATGAAGTTTAAAATTCAGAATGAATTTCAAAGTTTATTCACTAATTGTATGACTTCTTGAAATCTTGTGGGTTTTTTTTTTAGTTTGAAAATTTCAAATCATTGTGACATGAAATGACAATACAATCAAATTTTGTGTAATATATTTTTTTTAAAACTGGAATTAATTCAACATTTTATAAAGACAAACTTGCCAAAGTATTTTTTATGGAATTTGTTAAGATTGAAATGCAAAATTTTCTTCTTCTCAAGTCTGATAATAAGATAGGGGGGCTATACGGAAAAATTGTTATTTCAATCACATACCAATTAGGAATCATAATGTTTATCAAGAGAAATAATGTTAGTATTTTCAAAAAAATCATATGACTAGGACTAGAATTTCACCACTCTGCAATTTTTTATTTAATTAAGATTTTTAAAAATAATTAATTACAATCTAATCATAAAAAAAATATTAAATAAATTAATATAATCTAATAGAGAAATAAGACTTTCACAGCTTATATAGACATTTGTTATGAAATGAGGGAAAATTTTGGTATTTATATATAAAGAGTCATAAGACTCTTTAATGAAAAGGGTCGATCACTCAGCAATATTTTTCAAATCTTGTTTCAATTATAACTTGCCTTTGAAATAATCTTCCATGTTTACATGCAGTACTAAATGCATCTCATAATTATTCCAAATTACTCATATGCCTCTTTTAATGTTGTTTTTTTTCTAAATCAATAACTTTAAAGGCTTTCAAATATAAGTTTTGTGAGTCAATGACATTTGCTAATTTCAGAAATGAACAGTTATTGTTCTAAAAACAATGAAAATATATGCATATATGTGGTTTTATTGTACAAGGTTTTGAAATGTCATTAAAAACAAACCACTGAAAGAGTTAATATTTAGGGTTTTGCAAGTGTATATACAGAAATAAACATGCCAGACATTTCTAAGGAAGTTCTAAATTAGCGAAAGACACAAGAACCCACATTTAAACGTAATCACAGTATGTACCGTACATAGTTTATTTTCATGAAAGGATATTTAATGAGGCAATCTTTAAAATAATGTTTGCTTGCCCTCTCCCAACTCAGGGTAAAATTATTCTGTCAACTAAGGTAGGTGGAAAATCTTTTCCTCAGAAATTTTCGATGAATTTGATGATGGGATAAGAAAAACATATTGTGTCCTGGAATGTTAAGAAAAGATTTGAGTCAGGGCCATTTTTAGCCAGTCGGTCAGGAGAAGGCACCCAAACAATTTATTAAAGATAGCCCAATAAAGGTCTTTTTATCATTTCCCAATTGAAAGATTGACTTCAATGGTCCTCACACATTTCTGTCTAAATTAAGTACCATAACAGAATTCTACAAATCTTAAAGGGTTTTAGTCAGCTTCTCGTCATTTATCTTATAATTGAGTACAGTAAACCATAATTCACTCATCTTTTATTCCTGATTTTCTTCAGTTAAAAATCAGTCCCCGACAATGAATGTTTGCTACCAAGGAAACATTTTCTGTAAATACACGGTATAATAAATGTTTCGTGGCAATAAATATTTGGGAGTTCAAGAAGGTCTCGAAGCTCACAAATATTTCTTGCATGTGAATATTGGTTCTTGGGTTGCATTAACATTCAATTTCACCTGTATAGCTACCTGCAAATATGACTAATGTACTGTTAAATCACTAATTTGGAGAGACCCAAGATTTTTTACCACAGTTAAACCATAATTTTTCCCCCAAACCTTGAAAATTTGACCCCGCAAAAATATGGGATTCAACAGTATTGAATCTTTTGAAATATGCCCTTAAAAGGTTTCTTATTCAAACGCTATAGTTGTATAGCATCATTGGAGCTCTAGGATCATTTTTTGGTCTCCCAAGTTTTCATACATAGATCAACGTTCACCGTTACACATAGCTTCTGGTATCTATCTAATAAAATCAGTAAGCACTTTTCCCTTTATGCATCTGGGACACCATGCTCATTTGCATCTGTCTGCCAATTATATAGGAAGATCAATGTCAAATTAAAGGAATCCAAAGCATACCATGTTATTAAATTTTTTTTCCCCATCTTTCATTTATTGTTGTAGAAAATGTTAGCACATTAAAAAAAACAGACACACATTATGTTACCATATTTTTCAGCTTTTTAAAAAATTAAATCATGTACTTTTTGAAATCATAAAAACTAAATCTTAAAATTTTATGTTTTGCAAAAAATTACTGGAAAAAATAATTTTATTCACAAAAAAGTTAAGAAACAGGGCAAGGCCTATTTTAGAACTCCTTTTACAATACTTTAGCACATATTTAAGGTCTTTAAACCCTTACAATTCTAATTTTTATAAAAAAATTTATTTTCATTTAATAAAGTTTAAATTACAATTATTTCCAAAAATGTGTAGGTCACCACATTATTTAAGATACTAAAATAAGCAGAAGCATATGTCAACATAAAAAATCATAACACTTTTTTGTAAACAGTATCATAAATAAGTAAAAACTGAGTCAAATGCATAATAATGATGCTGAAATCGCTCTCAGGGCTTTTGAATTAAGAATATCATGGAAACTATTTTACATTAGAAGTACAATAAAGAAAATGCCTGAATGAATTAAGCTACCTAAGGAGTTATTGCCCTCAAATGTTAGATTTAATGTTAAATCATTTTAAAAATTTCTTAATAATATTTGTTTTGGAAAAAAAAATATGTGTTCATTGGGTAAATAATTTTAGTTTTTGCACAAAAAAGTTAAATGGAATTGGACAGGAGGCAAAGCCTATTTTAGCTCTCCTTTTACAATACTTATATGTAGATATGCGTCAAATAACTGCAACTTAATTTTGTCATCAGTTTAGAGTCATAATTAAGTGTTGGGAACAAAACACAATTTATTAAATTTAAGGAGGTTGTTTTTTGTTTGCAGTGACAGAGTTAGAGTTTTCATGGAATCTGATATTTGTAGGGATGAATTGGTCAATTTTTATTTGATCTACTGCAAAACTTTCAAATTTATTTTGAATTTGTTTTTAAAACAATTTTAATGCAGTGTATAAAGAAATTTAATAATTTTCATTTTGTGTCTAAAAATAATTATGACAATCTCACTATAAATAAAAGCAATGAATGTTACCTTTTAACATTTTTACAGTTTAGAAAGGTCAAGCCGAGGGTGATGACCCTTTCTTTTCAAATTAAAAAAAGTATTCTTAAACAAAGGACTGGATGATACCGCTGACACCAAAAGCACTGGGAGGTCCTATAAAACTTCAATATAAAAGCTCAATTAGTAGCCTGTATGTGTGTAATTTTAATTAATGCTAAGTAATATTGTACATGTAATCAGATTATATGTAATTATCACTGTCCATCTCATCAACTAAAGAATGAATTTTAGTTATTGTATTGTGTAACAGAACATTCTAATTATTGCTGTGGATTCATTTTTATTCAGGGTGGAGGTGGGTGGGGTTGGTAGTTTGGGGTGTCAATTTCTGTGGGCATGCAAGCAAATTTTTCTGGATTGTGAAGTTGCAGTTTCATAGGTAACTTGTAAATACATAAAAGATTCAATTAATATCTATATATTATGTTGAAAAAATTGTTAATGAGGATAAAAAAAAAATTGAGACAGTACGGGTGACCCACAAAATCAACAAACATTGGTCCATCAAGAACAACGCTGATTCCACAGTATAGTCTTATAAAAGAGATGTGAGACCAAAGAACTGTCAAGGTTGAATATGAAGGAGGAATTAGTTTGGATATATATACAAGACTCCTAAGACATTAATTGGTGACATCTAGCTTGAATGTCACAATAACTAGATTAATTCATCAAGATACAGTAAAACCTGTCTAACCCAACATCACTTCGGAAAGAAAAAAATTCTGTAAGAAAAGACAGCTAGGCTGGGTGCCGGCCGGCCAGACTGCACAGTGGGGAAAACCCATGAAAAATAGTAAAATGAAAATCTAATACAATTATAAAACAGAGGAATTCACAGTCAGCTGTTGTCAATTTTTAATTAAAACATTTTTTGTAGTATATCCATTTATATTGACTGTACAGATGATGTCAATGATATTTTATTATTAACACGTAACCATGCAATATTATTAATGCGGCATATGGCTCAAATTTTTTTCAGAGTAAATTTAAAGTGTGACTTCAAAGTCCAGATTTTAATGTACTTAGACACCCATAATACTTTTCTTATTCCCTGATTTTCATCCCTGCAGAATTTCTTTTAAAAAATGATGACCTTGGTATTTTTAAAGACATAAATCAGACAGAATAGAGCTTGACTTTGCCTAATAAGTAAAAGCAATTATATTTATCCCGATCATAAAAGAAGACAATTGCATAGAGAAAGCACTCCTCCAAAATCCAGAACATTTAAGGTAGTTTTAAAATTCAATTTGATGCACTTTAAATTATATATTAATATCAGTGATATATCAAGGAATTAAAAAATGCTCCTGGTTTAACTGAAGATAAATCTAATCAATGCATCCTTAAGGACATTAATCCATTCAGGGC